TTCTTTGGGCAAGCCAGTTTTATTACCAATATTTTGAAGCGTAGTTTGCAGCGTAATTTTTTCAGTCCCGAGAAGTTGAAGTAACAAATAAAATAACTGGGAACCATGGTGTACTTGTTTCCGTTGTGTTGTCCGCGAACTTCTAGATGATATCAGGTCACACGAATGTTATTTATAGATAAAATCAACAGCAATTGTATATGAATCACTTGTTATATTTGTCGTTAAATCGCTTATTATGCCCTTTGTCCTGCACGAACACGCGTGCCATTAAGATGACAAAAGCATCGTTGCGATCAGTTCTGTGTTGGGGAAATGAATTATGCCTTGGTTTAGAATGTTTAAGAAATACTTGGATGCAATAGGATGAACAGTGTTAAGATGCGTAACTACGGACTTTGGATGTTCCTCTTCTCTTGCACTCAGCAACGTGGTATCGTTTTATCTATTATTCTGTACCACTATTTTCAAAGTTAATGCATTTAGAAGCGATAGAGAAAAGAAAGACAAGAGAAGCTGAAAAATTTTTTAATAACGAGAAAATACCGAGAGGTAAATTTTTCGCTCGGTTGGTAGAAGAAAGGGGCGAGTTACGAAAGAAATTAATTATGCGCAAGGATAGGTGGAATTTTTTAAGGGTTCCCTAGCGAGTTATCAAGGTTGACTATTTTTAGGACGATTAATGAGATTGTTCTGCTCTAGAAAGAAATACAGTAAGTTTCCCCTAATTGACTCTCAGCTTGGGTACAAAAATGGACAATTTGGGAAGAGGAGACACGATTATTTTTACAGTTGTTGACAATCGGTAATTATAAAAATGAGCCGCAAAGGTTCGAATAAATCGTATCTTCTCTTCTCAAACTGTCCATTTTTGTGTACAAGCGAGGGTCAATTAGGGAGAATTTACTGTATTCAGTTCGTCGTAGTTCTACGCGGGTTCTAAGTTAAGAAATCCAAGAAACGTTGGTTCAGGTTTGCGAAAGCGGCAGGAATTCTTTGAAGTCGTGTTCCACCGACAGCGGTGCTAATCGACAACCACATTGATCGATGCTAACTTTGGAAACGCGCGTATATGCTCGCTGTACAAGGAAACCTCAATTATCCTTATTAATAAAGAGAACACGGTGGAAACTTCTTTGCCGTTAAATTGCATAAACTTTCTAACAAGTTCAGCTATGCTCTTAACAATGTTAATGAAATGTGCGGGTAATCTTTATAAAAGGCAAAGACAAAGTGTGTTAATTGTATCCCGTGTAACCATGAAAGTCTGAAAACTTGTTCGTATAACAGAATGTTCTGAACGTAACCGGAACCTACCGATGCTACGATGCGATACCAAAAATTCTTCTCGGCAGAAAAACTTCGCGCTTTTAATAACGGAAAGCAGAACGACCAAAAATTATCATAAAGTGATGCTGTCGGCGAAACCCGCGCCATGTTTGTCCAACATTTCAAAAGCAGCATCCGATTGTACAGAATTTCGGTATAATTTCGAATAATTCAGTGAAGGGGTTAATCATTGCTAATCATATTCCGCACAAAGATCCGCAGCGATACGACGTATAATTATGTCGCGTGCATTGATTCGTTCGTAGAGGGTTATAAATAGACCGTGAATTTTATGCGTTCGTAGCAAAAACACGTAGATAGAATGTAAAACGCGTTTAAAAAATTTAAGAATGCGATCGTATTATGCTCAACTCGATAAAATTATTAGAAAAAGTAAATAGTTTGTAGCGTCTTTATCTTGCAATTAATGCAGACGATTTTTATTTTACATAAAAGTCTGCAGTCTGCTTTAATGAAACAGCAAGAATAAGATTATAAAAGTATCATTGTTGCGATTCGACGTCGTTCTTCTCAACGAGACGAAGAATGTTCGGTAGATTTGTTTGCAACGCATCAATTACGCTAATAATTAGTCGCGCGCCGTGTGCACAGGCGTTATCGATCATCCCCGTGGCGTTGTCAATTTTATTCCGGTCACGTGGCCCCCTCCAGCGAATTCGGCAGCGGGCATGTGTTTCGGCGGTCGGGCATTACCTTATCTCGATTAATGTCTTGGAGAGTGAAGGAGTGCTCTGTTCTGGTCGTTAGGAGGTCCAGGGCCAGGTTTCCATAGGTGGGCGGCGTAACCAGGGTGAAGATAACGCCGTCCTCTTCGACCCCATATTTAGCGATGTCTAACACCATGGCAATGTTATCACTCGTCACTGGCACGTGTTCACCCTCGGATACGAGCAGCGGACTCAGCGAGAGGATCTCCAGGTTCACGGGTAAATTTCCCTTCGAGTACACCTGCGAAATTCGAGAACCGAACATGTGTGTTTCTGTGTGTATATATGTGTGCGCGCGATCGAGCAACGGCGAGGCCGTTTCCGCAAAAACGGGACGGTGACGTATAGATACGGTCCGCGGGGGATGGCAGTATAATCGTTATGGTGCAGTGCGAATACTGCCAGTGGAACTGGCTCGGACATTGTCAATATTAAAGCGATCCGCCGATAATACGAATCCGGCCTCAAATAATATAACCTGGGTACGGCGAGTTTCGGAATTGAATTTCGAAAAATCGAATGCACCGTGTTCTGAGTCTGACTCGTCTACGGAGCGTCGTACCGTTTCTTTCACAATTATGATAACTAGTACTTTCTCGATTGTAATAATCTCTTGAAAGAGAAAGAAAAATTATGTGCACATTGTGTGCCAGGATTTATTAAAACACTTAAATATCGATGGTACGAAACAGGATCTTATTTCGAATTAAAAGAAATTGCATCCATAATTAACAGGAATAAAATTCTGTTTCCTTGTTGTCAATATTTAAGCACTCGAGTAAATGTTGGCTATATATATATATTTTCTATATATTTTCTATAGTGGCTATATAGCTTTTCTATAGTGGTTTCTATATTGGCTATATATATTTTCTTAGTCTTCTAAGAAATGATTACACTCGACAAATTTTTGATCATTGCAATTGCGAAGAAAATGAAGGGGTTGAAGCTGGAAGTTAGGTTCTTCTTTGATTCGTTTAAACCGGAAGTCGCGATAACAGTTCTAATAATAATTAATACAATGTTATTAATAAATATCATCGATAAATAATTATTAATAAATTCAAGAGCGTTCCTTTTCGTCCGAGCGTTCACTGTTCGAGCCAGTTGCAATTTTCTAAAATTCGATACTCTGAACTTTCCGCGAAATCGATATGCACGGCGGAGACGGATCCCATATTCTCGTTATATCTCGAAAAATTTCTCGTAGGGACGTACCCGCTTTTCGATACCCCCTTTGTGTAAGACAATCTGATCGCACGTCCCTCCACCGACTTAAATTTAGCTGGCTAAATATGGAGCAGATCCTTCAGCCCCGTCGTCTTGCTTACAAAATTTTGTCCACCCTCTCCCCTCCGGCGTCACTGTAATCCGCCTCATGCAAATATTTCTCTTCGCCCCTCTGGCGTTCACCCCGCGCCATCTCAATCACCCCGCGCAATCACACCCGCGCGTCTAGATCATCCTTTTTCGCGTATCATCCTGCGCTTTTCAAAATCCCCTGTCGCTTTGCCAGCTTGATAAACTCCGCGACAAATTTTACTCGAAAAATCTCCCCTCTATGTCGAGCCAGTGATTCGCTACTCTGTATACCCGCTCGAGCCCTCAACTTCTCAACCCTTCGCTTGTTAACGTCGAGTCGGCTGATTCCAACTCCATTTTAGATCCTTTTTATCAGCAAGACAGCTTCTTCAATTTTGACTCAATCGAATGAAAGAGAATACTTTATTTCGATGACGTTCTTAAGGTTGCCGACGACAAAAGTTCGCAGACGACGGGAGCGAAGGGTCGCGCAAGTTAACATCTAGCTGAAAAATGATTATTAAGACTGTATACCCCGAGGATCTGCATTGCTTTCCAGCCTCGCGAGAAAATGCCCAGGGATAATATTTGTCCTAGCGATCTTAAAAGCAACAGAACTTTCTTACGTCGTCGAGAAGCAACAGAGTTCGCAGACTATGTACCCGTCGCAAATTTGATTCAAATCGAACTCCGTCCACACCGTTTAAACACGGAAGGCAGCTCGGGCCGCATAAACCACACGCGGCTACGGTGTTTACGTCGAATAATTGGCCAAGAAAGAGGCGGCAACAGTAACAATATTTTCGCGATAAAGGGGCGGGTACGCGTCGATCGGTGGAGCGGTTCGACGGCAGCGGGGTGTGCTCGGGACCCGGGGATCGTTCAATATTTGCCTTGTAATCCTCGGCGTAGCTCGGCTTGATGCACAACGGTTGATCGCAGTCGCACTTAAACGAGGTGACACCCAGCTGGGAGCAAACGGCGTCCGGCACGCAGGGCTCCGCCTCGATGCACGGGAATCCCCAAACACAGCCGACCACGATCCCCTGGCTGATCTTGACGTCCGGCAGGCCGAGCTCCTTGTTGTCCAGCTGCATACTTCGCAGGCAGCCCTTGTAGCTCAGGTCGCCGGACTTGAGACCCTTGCCGAGGGCTCTGGCTCGCTTGTTCAGCTCTGTACCGCCTATGTAGAGGGTGTCCGCTAGATCCAGGTACCGGTTCCCGCCGCTCGGCAGACCGATCGTTCTTTCCTGCCGGTCCACCGTGATCCCGATTCCGCTCGGGTTGAAATCGACGACCACTCGATGCCATTTACCGTCGTTTACCGGCGCGCCGTGTATCAACTCGGTCGGCCCGTTCCCTTTGTTCATCAGCAGACGTATTTTACCCTCGAACAACTCGATCCCGAGGTAATCGGCGTACGATGATTGCCCGGTGTTGTAGAGCAGCAGGCCGGTCTCCGCGGCCGTCTTCAACTCGAACTCCCATCTGCAACAACCGGGTCGGGAGAAAATTGAAAGGATGTCGAGGAATCGACGCGAGACCGTCCAACTTCCGACGTTCCTCTGGAGAAATTATAGTCTCGTCCTTGTTAGCGTCTCCGTTCCCCCACTTACCCCCACCGAGCACCAAATTGCATTCGCGATCGTTCGACGTTCGCACCGAATCGTCGGCTAATCGGAAACAGCGAACGCTGCAACATTGCGTCGCGTTCGATCGGTCGACGCTAACCGGGAGAAATCGTGTGCATTTCTCTGCGGATTTTACGTGTCTCGTTACATTTTGCGCCCAGCTTTAAACTCCCCCGCACTCGAAGAATCTTGAAGATTTCTATTCTTTCCCGATCTTTATTCTCTCTTCGCACACAGAATTGTGCGCTTACTCCACGATTAGACGGCGGATCTTTACGCGAAATAAAAAAATTTGCTGCACCAGTTGCAAGAAGTAGGAGCCACTTGTTTCTACGGTTTTGAATAGCAGCTGCGCGTGTTTCTCGTCAATGCGTAATATCCGCAGTCTATTCGTGGCATGTTCCAATTTTTAGCAGTTCATTAAACAGAAACAAATTTGATACTATAAAAATTGTTTGGAACTACGGAATGGTGTAATTTGATTGGTGTCGCAGAGTCGCGTGCATTCGAGTGCAAAGGATTGGAAGTACATTTTTGTGACATCTCTTTGTGTAAACCTGCTGCAGATCGGTGGATCTGTAGCTGAGTCGAAATTAGTAACGAGAAGAGAGCCAAATAGAAGTGAAGAATGAACTCTGCAGTTTCGATTTCGGTCACACGTTCGCTGTTAAATCGGAATCCTGAAAAGTTACGCTTCAGCATCGAAGTACTACGGGTCGGGAAAACTGAAATCGTTTTGATCCTCCCGCTCGCTCCACGTTTGAATAAAGTTTAGCGTGCTCGAATATTTCACGACACAAAGTCTCCAATCCTGATCGAAGATGTGTCACTGACGCATGACTGGCGTGGCGGCTAACGAGTTAAATTACTTCGATTTTGCTAGGCTTTCGAACGCGTGGCTTCCGTAATCGCAATCGAATTCTAATGTTGAAATATTGAAGTTTGAATTGCTTCCGCGAAATAATTTCTCCGGGTAAAATTCGATGAACGAGGATGACTTCGAATCGGATCGAATCGAATCGAATAGAGTCGAATCCAATTCAATCGAATAGAATCGAATCGAATGGAATGGCATGGAATGGAATCGAATGGAATCGAACCGGACCCGAACCAGGCCGAGCGAGCCACGGTGTCGGGTATTAGGGAATAACGCTAAAACTCTGTAACAACGCCGCCGGGGGTATTCGCGATCGAGTTAGAATTTCGCAGTTGACTTCTTCGCCGGGTTGCGACTCCGTTCTGAATGGACCCGTTAAACCGTTAACGGAGCGTTAGCGGAATTCGGAGTTTCTTAACTGTTCGGCTCGAATTACCTGGCCGTTTGCATCTTTCGCCGCCGGGAAAGTTCAGCTGTTACGCGCGAAACGTGACGCCAAATTGATTTAGCCGCGTTAAACGCATCCCCCGACGGCTCGCGACGACGCTCGGTTACCTGTTTTATTATTAGTCCGCGTACAGGTCTCTATTTCACGTATTACTACTACCGGCACGAGGCCGGTCCACGTGCTCCGATCATATTTTCCTGCGATATTTTTCATGCGCGAGGCCAGTTTTTCTATTGCCAACACAGGCCCGGCCATTTTCAGGATAAAATATCGTTTCGGCGAAGCTCCGGCCGTGGATCGCGATAACAGGTTTCAACAGAGTTCGTTTCCACTATAAATTAATCAGCCGATTTCTTGCCGCTACGATAAACAAGTGCGGTGTTTACGGTTTTTCGTAACAACAACGCGGGTAACCAAATGTTGTTCGTGGGCCTGGATCACGCCGGTATCTATAACGCCGAATATGCGCTTTGTTCGGCACAGGTTTTTCCCGCGTGTCGGGGTTTTTTATTACAAAAATTTACGGTGTATCGAAATACGTACACGTTGTTCCACCGGCACGAAACTTTCGAGTAATGCAATTACACGTTTTCAGTTTCGTCCGCCTTTTTCATCCATTCCCGACGCGTTGAAGCTCGCGCGTAATTATCGAGCGGACGATATTTAAATTGTGCGACTTTTTATTTAGTCGTTAATTAGCGTTTAATGATGTAGCCCGCTGTAAAGCGATCCAATGTTTCCGCTTACTCGCATACCCATTCAACATTTTCATTTCCCCACGTAATTCCCACCCTACTTCACACATTCTCTGCTCGTCGGCAGACGAGCTTTCGAATGCCGTCATCGAAGAATTGATCATCCCGAGCGCTCGCCAACTTCTCTACGGTCTTTCTCGAGTCTTCATTGATTTCGAACCGCCAGTTTCGAAGACGTCCCTTCAATTTTGGGGAAAAAGAGGAAATTGCGAGAAGGTCGGTCCGAGTTTGGAAAATACGGAACTGGTTGAATGCGAAAGATGGTGAATTCTTTCCTGATGGCTTTCAGAAACTTCGGGTCTTTTGCGAAAAGTCTGCAGAAAAGAGAGCCAATTACGCGAAAGGTTTAAATAACGAATCAAAGGGAGATATTTAAGAATCGTCTTCCCTTTTGCTAATTTTCATAGAAAAGATCGTTAAGCCCGCCTCTTTCAATCTGGATAAATCAATTCAGAGCAGAAAAAGCTACGGTGATTTGTCCAATGAATGAACACTCCTGGTGTACGAATATTATCTGCGTTATATAAAAAATCAATGTTTACGATGCCCTTTTCGCATTAAAATTTATACGGTAGCTCTGTTATACATACTATAAATTTGTTTGCACAAAATAATAAATAAAAAATAAATAAATAAACGCGTGATATAATCCTATGCTAGACTTTTTCAAAAAAGTTACAGCTATCAAAAAATGCTACAACCGTGTATGGAGATGTATCAACTTGGTAATGAAAGTCGTTCGTTATTCAGGGGATCAAAGAAGGATCGTTATTAGACCGGGGATTTTATGCATTTATGACAAAAGCGAGTTGATCGTATACAAATACCCAAAAACGTTCAACCGACTAAGAATGTCGAGAATAAAACTAAATGTTTACTTAACTGCAATTTGCTGCAATCGAGCAAGAAAATGTTTATTTCGCGTGATAATCTGCAGTTTAATCATAACAAACGTAAGTTTTCATTCACCGGACAGGTGTGGTCCCCGTAAAATCGTCGCGAGCGTAAAATCCGGCGATAGTGCGGACGAAACGAAAATAACTCCATCGATCATTGTTTTCTAAAAGCGGAGGAAAGTTTGAAAACTCTGTCTGAATAATTACGAACGAATCCGTGGGAGCTATTGATTCCCGGGATTCCCGTTCAAACAGAACGAAATTCCCGGAATTGGAGAGAATTGGCCCCATTGTCGGGAAACTTCCGTGTCCGAACACTTTCGTCCACCGACTGACCGGGGATGACACAGTACGCCGCGATTTCCCTAGGAGTTCGAAAATCGTCGGCACCGGTCGCGATTCAAGCCGCGTAATAGCGGCCGATAATAGCAGTTTCAGGGTCGGCCCGTCAAAGGGACAAAGGCGACCCGGGAGGCGGCCAGCTTCCGGCATGAATCATACTGTAACGAGGGCCCGGAAAACCTCTATGGCTCCGGATTTCCGTGGAAGAAAAAGCCGGCGGTTACTCGCGGACCATGTAATTAGACGTAACGGCCGGGGCCCCGGGGCGCAAATGTGGCGAAAAACTGCTGCGAAAACATGCTCGGCCCGGATTAATGGTCGCCAAGCGTCGAACTTCCAGACGACTGCGGGGGTGGACCACGAAAACTGCTCTGCCCGGCCAGCTCTGATCGCGATTAACGTCTTGTTTACACGTCCGCGGCGCGGCATGCCCGACGAATGAAGGACGCCCGAGTCGAACCTCTATCGTTCATCTGAGCTAGCACACGCGTTACGAATACAACTAGATCTTCCCTAAAAAGAATCAGGTTACTGCATCCCTTCGATGGACGAACCGACATCTGAACTACCGGACTTGCACCTCCACGATTATTGGTATTATAGAAATATTTTCGTGGGGACATTCTCTGTGAGTAAACTACGCTATCGAAACAAACATTGAGTCTGAGTAAATGTAATTTTGTTATAAAGCAATCCAGTAGATCCAGTGTTAAATGGAATCCGATGCGACGAAGTATGTACTCTCGCACGGATTCGAACAGCCATGCTATAGTACCACGACGTCTTCTCTCGCGTAGATTTTCGCATAAAATACGCTGCAACTCGGTTTTACAAAAGGAACTGGAATTTTATAGAAAAGACGTTGACTCATCGTTTCAGTCGAAGACATACAAGTTCTATACGAGTTGCGACGTACCTTTGTTTGAAACCAGAACCAAGCTCGGAAGACTCGTAACGAAGCACACATTCGCGATAAAATGCAGACGATCTTGGTCGAAGAACATTGAAGTACATTGTCCATCGGAAAGTCAATTCCCGGATTGATTCTTATCGAAATCCAAGGACCGTTTCTTGCGGAAATCATTAAAACAAGATCACGATCGAGCGACCGGACCGCGAATGAATTTGTACAACGGGGAAGGTCCCTTCGTTTCGAAGGGGAAGCTGAAGAGAAAGCAGTTCGCGATAAAGGAGATTGCGGAAAAGGTCCCTGGATGGACAATTTCGAGGGTGCCGCGTCTCGAGCGGGCTGTTTGCCGTGGCCAAGGCCGTTGGATCCGAGTTCCCGAAGCGTGCATGGTCGTTCAACGATGTTCGAAGGCCGGCGGAGGCAACGGTAGTCAAGGTGAGGAGGATCGCATTGTTTCGACATTGGTCCGCGAGCACGCAACAGGTACTCGCGGCGGCGTTTACCGTGTCTGAAACGAACCTCGAATTAAGAATCTGGGAGGGTGAGGCTTTTAATTTCCGAAGGACAAAGGCGGCGTAGCCGAACGGACGCGGCGAGCAAACTCTCGTTATCCTGAGCCCGGGAATGGAGTTGGTGCTCGTGGGTAACGGGCTTGCAGTTCGTCGCCCGGCCGATTATGAAAAGTCGTTCCCGCCCCCGCGATATTGCAGTTTCGAAAAGTACGCGTTGCCATAATTAACGCTGCGGTTAACGTTGAACTTTCGGTGTCGCGTCGTCGGGTCGGACTCCGCTCGATTCTGCGCCGATTTCTCGCCTGGCCAAGCCGCAATGATCCCAAAGCTGCTCAAGCCGACGCTCGATTTCCGCGAAACACCGGCCCTCGAACGAGATCTGTGCATGTACCGTTTGAACACGATTAATCGTAATTAATTATTATTGATAATCGATGCCGTTCCGCCGGCACAATTATCGCGCGCATTAATTGTTAATCCCAGCATTGTTCGCCGATTCATTGTCATTGTCCGAGACTATCCACCCTGTTCTCTCTCTCTCTCTCACTCGCTCTCTCTCGCACCTTCTCTCTCCTTTAGTCTCTCTCGATTTCCTGTTCTCTTTCGCTCTTGCGTTCGTATCGTTTCCGGAGCACCGTATCGTGGTCCAATTAGTTCTGATAATACGGGAATCGTCGTTGATTTTTTGCTCTTCGCCTTTCATACAGCCCCGAAAAGGCTAGCAATTAAAATTGGAACTGCTCGAGAACCGCCGCCAAAATGTGTATCGGCTCGAATCGGAAGCGAAGCCTTCGGAAGCATTACGGTTTTACACTAATTTATATTATATATCTATTCGCAGAAGACAGTCTTTTGACTTTTTAACAATCCGAAGCAACGTTAGTGTGCGACAAATGGCATTCGATTTTATTTTAAAATTGTCTCGTTGACAAGAAGAAATTCCAGCTTTTGTATGCAGCGACCCGATGGAAAAAGTGTTTCATAAATAATCGTTTGGACTTCGACGAAATTGATTTTTATTTAATGCTCATCACCGATTAAAATAGTTCTCGGGGTTGAGGTAGTTACTCAGGAATTATGAATGGTAGAGAAAAACTTCTGGATATATATTGTACCTATTGTTTAATATTTCATTAATTTTCGGAAGCCTCTTTCGCCTGCTAAATGCTGACGGCGGTTCGAGTTCCATATTACATATAAGTTTCATCAGAATCGGCTGAAGTTTGCTTGCACAAAAGCTTTGTTTCCGTGGGAATCGATTTCCGGAATTTATTCCACATTCCCGTAAAGGGTAATATCAATTTTCACGCATAATAAAGTTGTTGAACAAATAAATCAACATATGATAATTGCAGAACAACGCACACATGTTCCTTCCGCGATTTAATAACGAAGAATTATGATAATGTAACCCCCGGCCGGGCCAATATTAAAATCGTACGAATCTACAGTGCTTTATGTAATTTTCTCTTGCATCATTAAAAATGCATTACATGTTAAAATGATATCAGACAAATATTCACCGGGAACGTATACATTTGTAGCGAATAAATCTAGCACGATTATGGATTCGAGAGTGCGCTGTGTTCGCCGGTTGTCGAAATGTTCGACGGTTCGATTCGATTTGCTGCAAACCCCTTTGTGCAAAACAACTGTCGCTTTCCGGATTTACCGTTACGAGCAACAACGATAGACCAAAATTGACGATACAAAACTAAATTTATATGTATATAAAGATATACATGTATAAAAGGAAATAGATAAAACAAGTAAAATGAATACAACAAACGAATTCAATGAATTGGTAAAATAGATGAAGATGATACTAGAACGAATGGACTGCACGTAATAAATGAAAGCCGAAGAGAATATTAATCGTCTGCACGGCAATTTGCGATCTCCCGCTAGGAACGATAAATACATAAATAATACATAGAATGCACAACTAAATGCAATCGTTGAAGAGAGAAACGAATGCTTAGAAATATGTGAATGGACGCTGATTCGCGAGTTTTCACTAGGATTAACAAATAAACAATCGACGAGATTTACGAGATAAGTGTAAAACAAAGCATAAAGTACAACTGTCAAAATTAACGAAAAAGTTGGAGAAGTTCCAGAAAATGTTCGTCGGCAATTATCTTGTAATACATTAGCGAAAATCGGTGTACAGTTAATCATACTGAAACACACCATTCGCCTGATTAGAAAACTATTCTAATCGTGCATTGTGCTCGTTAGTTACGAACCGAACAAACTTTTACGACACGTTAATAACGCATGAAAGCGATTGGCTTGCATTACGTTGCACCAACAAGATTACGATCTGTGCTGCAATTGAGAAATTCATTCGGTAACGTCTCGCGAAAATTATATCAATAATTTGAAGAGCTGTCGACGAAGAAATCGGAAATATTAATATAATAATTAATAGCAAAATAATAATAATAATAATAATTAGTAGCAAAATACGAGATCGGCTCGGTGCAAAATCAAGGCCGCCGTAAACACCGCCGCAGTTCCCAGCAATGAAAATCGGTTTGCGATTTGTCCGCGGCCATCCGGAGGATCGAAATTTATTATCAAGCTTGCTGGATCGATGCCTGAAAGCGCCCGGCCACGACTTTCAATATTTATTCAATACTCGGTTCAGCCGACACTTCGCGGTTCCGCTTCTCAACAGCATTAATTTCGCAAGCGTCGTTTTTTATCGGTGACAGGGAAGGGCCCGGGGGCAAGGAGGAAGGAGGAAGTAGGAAGCAGAGACGACGGGTGTGAGAACGCGACGCCGCGGTAGGTTTACCATTGTGATTCCCGGCCGACAATCGAACGACTTGCCCCGAAAGTCTTTGTTATTCTGAAAAGTGGGATCAAAGTGCTTCCGTCGAGGACGTAACGAGAGCTCGTTGTAACCATTAGCGAGCGTCTACCGTCGTAACGCGATTACGCTTGTTGTTTCGGACCTTCCCGCGCCGTTTTAACGACGGCCCCCGCGGGATTCCGCCGTTGGAAGCTGCGCTCAAGAGAAGCAACGTTCGTTAGCGGGGTTAAAGAACTGTTTGGAACCGGGCTCTTTGCAAATGCGAGCCGATAACCGAGGATCTCGGTTAAACCAGCCGGGATCCTGCCGGGATCCAACTTCGATCCTGCTTCGATCCTGCGGCCTTGTTTCGAACGCGATCCGGAAACGATGCGGAGCGCGAGCTTTAATCCCTCCTGCTCTCCTCGTTTTTCTATATTTCTAGCTGGCTAGTTGTTTCGATAAATTCTTGCGAGCGGTCGCAGGAACGCGCAGAGCTCGCGCAGAGCTCGCGCGGCTTTCATCGAATTCAATCCGCCACTCCCGCGCAGTCCCGCGACTCGCTCGATTCGCGTGCTCCGCGGCCGCGTCTCCCGTTAAATACAGTTTCATTAACAAGTTTAACCGGTGCGCGGCCGGTCCCGGGGCCGGAGGCCAGAAACTTTAATTCCGCGCCGCAACAATTTCATTGAATTCATGTAGCGTATCGCGCCATGCCGGCAAGATCAAACAATGGCCGCGCATTAACCGGCCGGCGGACGATGTTGTAATAAATTTCAGCGGCGCCACGCTGCGCGGGATCGAGTGGCAATCAACGGGAAGCAATTCTGCTTCTGTTATCAGCGCGGCGAGGACCAATTAACTCGGTTAACCCTTTCCTTACCGAGGCTGGATATAGTCGCACGAACCCTACGGAGCGGAGTATAGCCGGGCTCCAAGGCTGGCTGTAGTCGCTCGTTAAAATCCTCCGGGAGTTTCCGCCGGCGAAATTTGATTATTTCGACGTGTGATTGACACTGGGTCGGCTGGGCGACATGGTAACGACGCTTTTGTCGGGAGTTATTGATTCGTTTGGTTATTAACCGGTGACTCTAGGTGGCCCGTAACGATTTTTCTAGTCGGTCCTCGTCGCGCGGAGTCAATTTTTCCATTCGCCGGCGCATTCGCGATTTTTGGGAATCTAAGAATTTTTAATAACACTGTCTAATGGAAGAACGTCGTTAACAATCTCGTTAACTATCTCGTTAAAAGATTACGAGCAGGAAGGAACCTTGCCGGGATGCGAAAATAATAACCAAAGTTCTCGATCCATCTCAGAACATTTGTCAGCTTTCACCGATGGTCATCCTAGCGGTGACAATTTTTTGAAACATTACCAACGAAAGAACATGATCACAAATTTTGTCACCTTCAGCTAACTTGCAAAACTGTTCGAAAAAAATCGCGAACAGAAATAAACACCACAATGGTATAAAAAGAAATCGCCAAAGTTCCATTAGCATCGGACAACGTTCCAAAACGTTGAGAGTAATTTTAACAGAATTTTCGGCAACGGAGAGAAGATTGGTGGTGGTGGGATTGCTGGAGAGAGAGGGGAGGTGACTCGGGTGTATAATTGGGTCGGTAAAAGAGCGCCATAGGTGTACGTACCTCGATCCAGAACGGGGAATGGGCCTCGGGATCGCCGTGAACGCGCCGTCTTCGACGAAGCTGACTTCCGTGCTCCTGGTCGCGTCGAATTCCGGCGAGCAGCCCCACGTCACCGCCGTAACCTCCGACTGGCCCTTCCTCGACTTTGCGTACTGTATAACTCTGGCACCGTTGTAGATTATGTCCGCCATGCAGCCCCTCAAGTAGTCCGTGTGCCCTGCGAACAGCCGAGAATTCCGTGCCGTGTCACGAATATTTCTTGGGGCGGTTCAGAACCGTTGTTAACCCCGTCCCTTCGTGGAATTCGCGGTACTACCGATCCTCGAAGGATCCGACGTTTACAACCCTCTTAGCGACTCCATGCTCCTACCCATCCCACGAGACTGCAGGTGTACGCCTATAGTTTTCTGCGTTAGTCAAATTATTCCCCGTCCGCGATACACTCCTCTCCATAAAGTCATCCTCAGGAATTTCTGCGGAATGTTCGCCGAGTTTTCTTTGTCCCCGCGAGCATGTAAAGAAGTTCAGAACTACTTGCGGCTGAGTAGAATACCTTCGCAATCGTTTTTTCTTCAGTGTTATGTCATCATTATTTTGTTGCTCAATTGTCAACATCGGGTAGGGCTTGATTTCGTTTTAAATTGGAGATATTTTCATCGTTCGAGTCAATGCAAAATGTTTTCCGATCGGCTATTCAGTTTAGGCTAGAATGATCTTTTGTAAGCATCGGTGGACTGTCATAACAGTGAGAAAACACAGCGATTTTAGGAAAATCTTACGTTGAACTGATCGATTTCGATATTAGTTAGATACATATTCGAAAAGTACGCGGTCATTTTATTGAAAATACGTATTTCGGCAATGTTACGGTGATCCTACGGTGGGGCCCCTTAGATAGGACAAAATTAGTTCCACGAATCTAGAAAATCCTCGATCTACATATGTATACAGACGTAACTATCAGCGAAACGAAATCGAACAGTAATTCGAAACTATCGACAATATCCAACCGAAACATCTCCGCTTTGAGAAATATTGGAATCTCTGCAGATATTTTCAAGGTTCTCTTGAATTCTCCTTGCAGCCATGCTTTGGAATTACATTCGTCCGTTACACAACTGGAAAAAGGTTCGAGAAAGTATTCGAGGAATCCCTTTAACTTGACGCGTTATCAGGCGTCTTTTCGCAGGAAAATCAAACGCGAGGTTCCCGGATGCTTTCGGACCAGCGATCAAGAAAGATCGAGCGCGGATTGCGAGGAAGCCGGAGGTTGTACGTGTCGCGCGAGAAAATCGCGGATGGGGCGTTGAAAATTCTCGGAGCTATTTGCATTGGGCAATTTTTCAATCGAAGATATTACTCCCCGGGTGTCCTCGATGCGATTTTATTGGAAAGTTCGTTCGCGGATCGACTGGCCCGTAACGGCCAGCGGCGAGATCGATCTGGAAGGAGGAGGAGGAGGAGGAAGCTTCACGGGATAATCGTTGATCCGCGAACAATACCATAAACGGTTTTATTCGAGCCGTTATCCGCGGTGCTTCTCGGGAGTCGCAATTTCCTTCGAGTGAAGTTCTCGCGCGAGCAAATAACGAACCGGCGGATATTAAACCCCGATGACCGGACGATTCTTAGCCCTCCGAGGGTTGCGAGAACGCTTTGGCACGGGTTTTCCTTCGGGTGTCGTTTGCCGACGGGGGAACCTCGCCGGAGCCCCGGCCCCCGTAATGAAAGCGTCAGTCGCAAACCGCATTTGATGAGGTTGATGGCCAGATAATCTCAGTTTCGGGGCTGGCAACGAGCAAAGTAGGCTATCGAATCTCCCGGTGCCGTGATTTGCGAGACGCCTGCCTGCACCCGGCCTCGCCGCGTCGCGTCGCGCCCGAGTTCATTTATCTGATTGGATCCGGCGTAGTTAGCGGGTGCCTCGTGGCAATGATATGCCGCCAACTTAAATTCCTTATTATTATTCCTATCCCTCGCTCCGAACTCCGTGGAAACTCGGTGAACCGGCAGCCCTCGAAAATCTTCAATCTGAAATTCCACCGACTCCCACTTCACCCAATTAACAACCGCGCTTGCCGCCGCGCCGCGCCGGGAGCCTTCTACCCGTGTAACCCTGTGTCAATCGCGTTTTCTTTCTGCATATACTTTTCGCTTAGCCTTGGCTGGGGATTAATCAGCCCGCGACACCCTCCTCCCACCGTTTCGACACACTGCTGTGCGGCTGGAACTCGGTGAAACTCTATTCAACTCTGCAATTTCTGCTCCCTCGATTCCTGAAGTCGCTGTTCAACCAAGGCCAACCGTACTTCCGACTTTCTTTGGACTCGGATATAATACCTTTGGTAATGTAAAGGCGAAGAAAGCGTAACAATTCTGATGCCCAACTTTCGTCGCGTCCTACCTGAAATTGCTCTGCCGTGAATCGGTAAAGAGACTCCGGCTGAAGGTGTGTCAGAGAGAGAGAGAGAGAGAGAGAGAGAGAGAGAGAGAGAGAGGGGGGGGAGAGGGAGCCATGGCATGATCAAAAATGGAATCTCAGGGCAGAATCCCGTAACAAACTGTTATCTAATCCGAGACAGTTCCGTGGAAGAGGCCGCCGTGGATTCGTCTGTGGCGGACTCTACGCCGGCATATTACGTTTCCGTCGAACAGACAGGTGTGGGCGGTGAGCCTGTGGGTGGCAAAAGGGAGAGAACGAGAACGAGAGAAGGAGGGGAAGAGAGAGAGAGAGAGAGAGAGAGAGAGAGAGAGAGAGACGGATGGTAAGACGCGTCGACGTATCAACTCCGGCAGACGTTTCGTTTCCTCGTTGTAAAGGGAATTCCATGCACTGCTGCTGCTCCGACGGGCTTGATCGTATTTCTATGACGGATCAGTGGCTGTCGCGGGGCCGTACGGAGCCGGGCCATGGAAGACGAGCCACTGCCGCACCTGTGGCAAGGTAACGCGAGCCGCATAAGGGAAAATCGAGGCGTGTTTACGTAGACGGCGTGGATCGTGAGGACGGTTTTCCGGCGCGGCGGTGCCGCAATAAACCGGGCCCGTTTCACAGTGCGGTGAATCGCTCATCCCGCAAACCCCGCCACAGCTACCGTTCTACGTGATCCGGCCGCGCGCGCCACGATTACATTAATTGGAGAAGTTTCGAGCATGGTTTTTCCTAAGCGACCGAAGATACTGCGGATAACCGCTAAACGGACCAAACCGCGCGCCGAACGTCCCAGCGCCCGACAACTCTATGCTCGTATCCCCGGGGATTTTAAGGACCCGACGCCGCGCCGGAACCCTGTGCCCGCTGTGCGAATCACACCGACCGGAAACCGTTCCGAGGATAGCTACATGCCAAACAAATGACGGTTTGTTCTCCCACGCGCCCGTCATTAGTCCGCCCTTTAATCCTGCGGAACCGACCGATACGCCGCACCTAATCGCCGATCGAACATGTCGCTTTTTCGAGAAGACTCCACGCTTTTCTGTCCTCAATTAATGCGATCATTGTGTCGCGCATTGTCCGCGATTCACAGTTGCGGTCGGTATTGTATTATACTATCGTCGTATTCGATTCACAGTTACGCTCGTTATTGTATTATACGTCGCATTCGATTCAGAGTGGTTGTCTGCATCGAATAACGATCGGTTAAAGCATGTGCGAGAGATGGAATCGAATAGCGATGACAGATAATATTAGGATGCCTCGGAAGTTGTTTTCGGATAACGCGCGACTGACGTTGCCGGGCAGTAGTGCGATCTCTAGATGTCAGATTTTCTTCTGCATCGGCAAACTCGCGCCGAGTTAAACCATCGAATAAACTAGACTCACGTACTACTTCATCACGTCGATTCGTTCGAGGTTAAATACGGCGTTTCAAGTTCTACGTTGAGATTAACAACCGAGACAGATGCGCTACTTTCATTCGGAAACTGCGTGGACGAATACGTGGCTCCGTAACGCAGGTTCGAACAACGAACTATTGAAAATATTCGCATGTTTTCCGCTTGCTGACCACGTAATAACGCGAACAAGCGTTCCCTGTACGGTAAACATGCTTCTGGAAGACTTTCGTTTTAATTAATATTTCCAGACTGTTATAAATCTCTTGCCGCGAATGCACGGAACACAATATCGTCGAGTATCGCGAGCGAAGCGCAGAACAGAATAACGCGAATAACAACGCGTTTATTAACCGGGCATTATCCGGGAGAAGCACGGCGAGATCAATGGCGGGGAACAGAACTCGCAAGTTTATTTCTACGGACTATCTTGTTCTTTGTTACGACCGCGGTCGAACCGAAAACCGGAAAAATTGCGATCCCGCGGTACGGAGCCCCACAGTGATTTCGTTAATATAATGAAACTGCACGGTGCTGTATCCGCGGATTGGACGGCCGGATATCACGTCGATAACACGTGAAAGCGTGCAGACGCGCGACAGATATTTCGCCTGTAATATCGCGATTTTTCGTCGCTGCGACGGCAGTAATATCGGAAACGTTCGACGAGAACTATTCCAGATATTCGCGACCGTGAAACGGAGTCATAAAATAAATAATTCCCCGTGTCGCCGCTTTCAAGACCGTTTCGATTTATTTGGACGTTACCGTGATCGAATGTTCCGCGATAGAACATTGACACCGACGTCTCCGGCCGCGTGTGTGCGCGCGTGTATATACTTTTATTGATTTCGGGGCCGGCTCTCGACGTTTGTGTGCCTACTACCAGGGACAACGGACTCTCTCTCCCTCCCCTTCTATTTCTGTTTCTCTCTTTCACCCTTTGTTTTTCTCTCTTTCTCTCGCTCGCTTTGTTTCTCGCTCTCTATGTTTCCCGCGTAGTCGTGGAAACGTCATTCGATAAAGGAAACTTATGCCGGGGATTTCAAAGACAAGTACTTTTCCAGCTACACGCGCACACGCGCTACATCATAATTCCTCGCCGTCCCTAGCGGAACGCGTACGTTGAAACGCGCATAAAGTATTAGGACAGCAGCTATTCCATCATCCGCGTTCACGTTCGCGTGCGTAATGCCGTGCCGTTTCTTGTCGGGGAACGCAAGCAAGTCACAGCGAATTCGAGTTGACGCGAGGCAACCGTTTCTCCGCGCTACCTCGCACGGAAACGGGTTCGGGAGAGACCGCGCGCCACCGTGCTAAGTGGATTTTACGTTTTCGGTCACCCAGAGGCCACTTTTCGGTCCTTTCTCCGCGGAAACGCGC